CCTTTTTTTTTTTTTTTTTTTCCCTCCTCCCCCTTCATCACCTCGGAGTGCTCTGTCCCTTTGCCCTATCTTTTCACTGTTTACCCTTCAAAAATCTGTGCCCTTTTTCTTTTTAGCAATGGCAACAAATGGAAGAATAAAAGTAAAGATAAAAAATTAAAAAAAAAAAAGAAAAAGATAATGATATAAAGTCCATATAACACCCAAATATTATCCATTCAATTTGCATAAAGAACCATATTACGTATGTTACCCATTCAATTTGCCTAAAACCATCCATCCATACATACACGTCTTATGCAGCCACCCAAGTTGCCGGAGACAACGCCGCCGTCGTTGTCTGCTTCCTGTTGCGACAGGGTATAGGTACACTTTTTGGTCGTTTTTAATGGCGCATCCTCTACTTTAGCAACCTCTTACCTAAAACAGGTTCCTAAAAATTTCCGAAATCAGCTAATTTGTGTACCATTTGGAAATGAATTATGAAAAAAGAAACACCCATTTTTCATTTTCTTTCCCAATTTGTTAGAAGAAAAAAACCCAGCTTAAAAACACAACCTTTTGGCCCTGTCCTTTGGAAGTTGACTGCCTGCTTTTTTCCATAACTTCACTGTTTAATTATTCTCCCACTTTAGGGTTTTCTAATCATTCCTTTGCCCTTTCTCTCTCTCTCTCTCTCTCTCTCTCTCTCCCTCTTCTGCTACTGCCTTCTCTCTTCTTTTTTGCTTTTAAGTTATAATGGAAGATCAGTACAACCCTCATGGTGATAGCTCGAGGGGAAATTTCTTGTTCACTTCAGTCCCTGTTTTGGCCACAAATTCTTCTTCTCCTGGGGGCAATTTCGTAACTAGACACTCTTCTTCAAATGGCGGAGGCGCCTCCCTTCTTGGGAGTCAGATCATGGCGGTAAACACTAATCTCGGTGGTGACTGTAACTTTCCGGCGTCGGATCGTGTTGTAAAAGTGGAGCCCAGTGGCTCCCAGTCTCAGAATCATCATCATCATCATCAAGTTCATGACTTTCATTACCATTTAATGAGAGAGTTTCAAATCAGTAGTGGTGGTAATAATAGTAACGATTTGGGTTCCATGAAAGCCAAAATCATTTCCCATTCTCTATTCTCTAACCTCCTCCAAGCCTTCTTGGATTGCCAAAAGGTAATTTTAAATTTTAATTTTGGGATCAATTAAAACTAATTGTCATTCGTTGATAATGTTAATTTGTTTTTCATTAGGTTGGAGCTCCTCCAGAGGTAGCGGCGAAGCTTAGTTCGGTATGGGAGGAATTTGAACAGCGGCGGCGGTCTTCTATGGCGTCGACCGGCGGTTCAACTGACCCAGAACTGGATCACTTCATGGTAAATTAAATTAAATTAAATTAAAAATTAAAAATGGAATTGTTAGTTATATAAGAAGAGAAATTGAATGGAGAACAGGAAGCTTACTACGGGATGTTGGTGAAGTATAGAGAGGAGCTAACGAGGCCCATTCGAGAAGCTGCAGATTTCATGCACAGAATTGAATTTCAGCTCAATACTCTCTGCAATGCCTCTTTTCAAATCTTAGCATCTGGTACTCTTTTTTTCTTCTCAAATTTTCAAATTTTTTGCTCTTTTTTTTTTTTTTTTAATTTTATTTGCAACCCATTTAATATTGTTTGCTGGAATACCCTTTTTTGGGGGTTTCTTTTGTTATGGGCAATGATTTTTCCACTTACCAAAAAAAGAAAAAAGGAAAAGAAAACCCTAATTTGAATTTCATCATGATTTCAATGGGTTTTTTTTTTTAAGAAGTATTTAGTGCTGATTATGGTCTTAATTATGGATAAATTTTATTGTTCAGATGTGTTTAATAATGTGTAATTAGAGTCTTAATTTTTTAACGTATAGTACTTAGTGTAGGATGCCAATATGAGAAAAAAAAAAACTTATTTTTAATAGAATGCAATAAGAATTAAGTTTAAAAAAATATTAGACATAAAATTTAATAATTTATAGCGGAAATATAAATAAACATGAAAATAAAATGCAGCAGCGACAGAAGAGAAGGGATGGTCGGAGGAGGAGCAGGAGAAGAGCAGGGAAGCAGAAAGAGAGGTAGGGGATCAAATGGACCCACGGGCTGAAGAGCGAGAGCTGAAGAATCACTTACTGAAGAAGTACAGTGGGTATCTAAGCAGTCTAAAGCAAGAGCTTTCAAAGAAAAAGAAGAAAGGGAAGCTCCCAAAAGACGCAAGGCAAGAGCTGCTCCGATGGTGGGAATTGCACAACAAATGGCCATACCCTTCGGTAACACTATTAATTAATTCCCTTCCTTTCCCTCCTTTTTTCTTTTTGCACACAACCTGTTCGTGAAAATGCCTCAACCACAAAAGCACTCTTTAATTTTGCAACGCCTGCAGGAGGCTGAAAAGTTGGCGCTGGCGGAATCAACTGGGCTTGACCAGAAACAGATAAATAATTGGTTCATAAACCAGAGGAAAAGGCACTGGAAGCCGTCTGAGGATGTGCAGTTTATGGGCATGGAGGGGTTTTATCATCCCAATGCTGCTGCTGCTGCTGCTGCTGCCGCCTTTTACTTCGATGGCCATTTCATGGGTGACTCCCATTATCGTTTGGGGCCATGAGGGGAGGCTGCGGTAACATATGTGCTTTTAAACCAGACCCTCCTTCTAGTTGCTGCTAGCCTATCCTATCCTATGTTTAAAAAAAGGGTAATATTTGTTTATTGTCTTTACTCATTTGGTGAATATTCCTAAATGCAAATCAATTAATAATATCCACCCTTTACTCGTTTCCGTTCTTTTTGGAACAATTAAAAATGGGCCTCAAGTTTTGGGCCGCCGCTGGAAACAATTGTGGGCTGGACGGATCTATGTATTTTGTGGACCCAGGCCCACCATGCTCTCGTTAAAGCCCAGCCCAAATATCATTTGAACCAACGAACCACCATCGAACTTCATCGAGTTAGTGCGTCAAGCTGCGTTGGATCAATTGTTAGGGGTATTTTAGTCATTTATCATATTTAATTTAATATTAAAATATTACCGATTTTCATTTCTGTAATAACAACGATGTTTTTTAAATTTAATTTGCAAAATCATAAATTATAAAATCGATCTTATGCATGATGAATAATTCTATTTTAAGTTAAGGGTACCAAACTACATGATTAGGGAAAGTTTTTCCTAATTTTTTAAGCAAAAAAAGAAAAAGAAAAAAAAAACTTTATTTGGAATATTGAAAGAGCTATGGCACCACATCTTCCTTCATCAAATAAATTAAATATCTTAATCTTGATTATAGTTTTAAATTTAAATAAAAAATCATTCACTTTTTTCTTAAATATACATCAATAATCATTTTAAAAATTATTAGCAAAATTATTTTCTAAATGAAAAAAAAAAAAAAAAACTACTAATTCACAAGCACAAAACTTTACATTTAGGTTCCTATCATTTAATTATATTTATGGATGGATTATTCCCACTCTCTAATCTAAATTCTAGCGTTGTTGGTTTTTCTTTTCTTAAAAGAAAAATAGGGTTGGTTGGTTAAATATTGGAAGGCGTAAATATATATATATATAATTTTTTTTGCTATGGATAGTAACATATTTTACCAAACTGATGAAGAAAATTTTAATTATTACTATTATTATTTAAAGAAAACCCAACTAATTACCCTACTGGGAATTGCACAAAATTCAACATTGTCTTTATGAAACTTTTTCAAGTTTATGTACAAAAATGCTAACTAACTTGAAGAGAGGGGCATTAATATTACCTCCAAATTAAATTTGATGAGTGTTTATCTATGAACCAACCAATAAATTGTACAAAATTCAAACCCAAGTCACCAAAAATGCTTGAATCTAACCACAAAATTAAGTAGATAATAATAATAAAAAACCATTCAAGAAGCCAACAATTAATGTCTAGTATCCGGAAGCTAATTTTAATATAAAGTTTGAAACTATAATTACCATTTAAATTCAAAGTTTAAGGAATAAAATCGAAAGTTTAGCAACACAACGAATTAAAAGTTAGAATATTTTTTTAAGAAAAAAGAAACCAAGGATAAGATTGACTCCACCCGAGAATCTTTTAAGAATTTGTAGCTTTTTTTTTTTTTTTTTTTTTTAAAAAA